ATAATTTTATAATTTTGATTTTTAACTTTAAGTGTTAGAGATTAACAAAATAACTAGTATTGAATCAAATGCTTTAAAATGCAAAGTTGTTACAAGGTTAGTTGTCACTATGTTTACAGAATGAGAACCACTGGTTTATATACTATAAATTTTTATGAATTAACGTTTTAATATAATTTTATGTGTTAACTTACACTGTATCGACTATATCACATGGATCTAGTTTAAATAATTCGCGGGCCACCACTGCCAAACTATAAATGTCACATTTGTGATTATAATTGCTACCACTCGCCTCGGGTGCAATATACTTAATTTCACCCACATCTGCGGTGTGTTCATATCGTATTCTATCATGCACAGTTGCTAATCCAAAATCGCATAACTTAATAAATCTGCCGTTCTTTACACTCTTTGCCACTAATATATTGTCGGGTTTGAGGTCTCTGTGAATGATCTTTGGATTTCTTTCATGTAAATACTCAACACTTTCTAAAATCTGCTTGAATATAATGCTCGAAATAAAATAATTGTGCGCCTTTATCAAGGTGTTATTTCTATTACAAAATTCTGGAATTTCTTTCATGTCTATAATTATTTTCTTAAGACTTTGCGAACATAATTCCATCTGAATATAAAAATAACTCGGCTCTAACCACGAGTGTATATATTCAACAACATAGTCCGATCTGACCTTAATCAGATTTTCGACTTCGGTGACTAATTTGGTTTTCCAATAATCTGTTAATGCTAAAATAAATTATTTGTAAACTAATTAAAAAATATATCCACCTCATTTGCAATTGATTTTATAAATGTATTTACCAAGGTATGCTATCTGTTTAATTGCAAAAGTTTTCAGAGTTATGATGTCTGTCCCGCGATAAACTTTACCAAATCCACCTTCACCAATTTGTAATAATGGATTAAAATTATCCTTTAAATAACTAAAAAATCCATAATCATCATCGGGCCATTGCTTTTTACATATAAAGCATTTAATTGACGTTTGTAATTGATTCAGAAATCTGATATTGTGTTCACAGTTAACTAAGCTATCTGTATACATGGTCGTAGAATACGGTACCTTGTCTTTAACATGTATAGTGTTAAACGTACATTTCTTATAATTTAAATAATAGTCCACTAGCTTATAATGGGGATTAATCATCACCGTTCTTTCGCCAAGCAATTCAATTAAATTACCTTTCATCATTATGACGCCGGCGTCGAACGCAAATTGAACTTGCTCCTTTTGTGGGAAGTGTAATTTTTGTGCATATTTATATGGCTTACCCACGTGAATTGGTGGTGTGCCGTAATAATAAATTTGACCCTTGTTGCTTAATAAATTTATCCATTTGTTCGTGTAAATTTTCATAATCTGACCGTTTATAGGGTTTCTAGGTATTAATAAATTTCGGTTCTTATACGGTCCTAGGTTACAAAATTCTGGGGAACCCCAACTGTACAGTTTATGATCCCTGGTTATGGCGAATGACGTGTCCCGGAAGCAGCTTATATATTTGATATTGTGCATGATTGTGCTTGCATCATTATGATTTAGCTTGATCAATCGTGGTGACACAACGTGCTGAATAGTAGGGTCATTTAATATTTGTAGACATTTATTGCTACCCCACCCGTATACATAGCCATTGCTATCCAACGCAAGTGTATGACTTTGACCGCAACTTATCTGGATAATCTCAATAATTTCGTTATTATTGAAATTAATATTAGTAAAATTAATCTTTTTCGGTATTTCAAGTTTATTGGTCAAATTTCCATGTCCTAATTGTGCCTGATCATTCAAGCCAAATGAATAAACAATGCCCTTATCAGTAAGTGCCATGATAAAATTTTTGCCATTATAAAAGTCTCTTATACTTGTACTGGATAACGTGTTAATATTAACTGGATTGTCATTTGTATTAAAAATATTTTTAAAAATTTGTCCAATGCCATAAACTTTATCGTGTTCATTATTTGAATCAATAATATATATGAGTTCCTTATCATTACTGCACTCAGCAGGTTCAATTTCCCGTTTACTTAAAATATAAAATTTACTAATATCAGACAGTGACAAACCTTGAACCTTTTTAAGCTCATCAATTGATCGTAATAATTTAGAGCACATTACTATTATTATTAAATTATTAATTATTATATTATTAATTAAATTATTAAAACTTATTTAATTGATTATTTTAATTTTTAAATTAAATATATAATACATCATACGTAACATTATTATTTCAAAATTTAGTGAAATTTTTAAATAATTCATAATAATTTAACTTAGCTTTGAATTACAGTACATACAAACAAAATGCCAGTAAATACACGTATTTTAAGAATGAAGAAAAAGATAAGGTTGCATAGTTAAAAAGGTATTATTATCAATTTAATTACAGTGCTATAGCGACTATTAGATTAATGACTACGCCATTACTAGTTTTAAAATGTCTATTTTAGAAAAGTTTAATATTTGTCAAACATTACCTCGTGATATAAAAGCATCAATAAAATTATTCATTGTGCTTGATGATCGTGATGGATATAATATTATATTTGTCACATTTGATGATCGTGCATTTAGTAAAGGTGCAAACGTGGAAGGTATTTTAGGGCTTGATCATAATAATCCCGTAATTGATAACTACATTGAAATACCTGAGTTACGATTATTTTTTTAACAGTTCAAGTAATTACCTGAATGTAAACACGAACGTTGACTGTTGTAACCTGCTTATATATCAACCCCAGTTTTACTAATACCAGTTAACCCATCTGTTTGTCGGTTACTGGAATTATATCATAAACCCGATATAATTAAACTGGATATAAACTATCAAGATATAATTGACATTTGTTGTGGCGTAAGTTATACGATAATACTGACAAAAAATGGTGACATTCATGGCTGGGGAAGTAATAAGTTTGGACAGTTAGGTTGCGGTAAAGAGCATGATGAAATAATATATATTCCTATTAAAATTCCATTTGAGCGTCACGATAAAATTACATATATTTCATGCTATGGATTATCATCATTTGCAATAAATGAGAATGGTCAGGTATATAGTTGGGGATATAATAATAATTTTCAACTTGGGCATAATGTACGTCACAATGTATATATGCCAAAATTATTAATAAATCTTACAAATATAAGATCAATATGTTCATCTTGGGTAAATTCATATTTTATAAATGATGATCATGTTTATTTTTGTGGATACTATACGGATAAACATAAAGAATTTCATGAGAAAGAACCTGTTCAAATTAAAATGAAAATTAAGATTGAAACATTTTTTCAAGCAAATTCATTTAATTATTTTGATTTTATTATTGGCATGGCAAATAATAAAATTTATAAAATTATGAATAAGGCCATATATAAAACAGATCATTCAGATATTTTTGATTATTATGCCCAAAATTATCAGATAACATCGCACACAATAATTTTTAAACAAGCAACTTTTCGAGATAATATTGGTAAGTTTTTCATAATAAATATTAATTTAACTATATTAACAAAAAGAGTACTATATAAACTTATATAAATATAAATTTAGTTGCAATTTAAATTTAGCTATTATGAATTAAATTAAGCATTTTTATTGTATTATTATTATTGTTCTGTAAAGTGCTATATAGTAGTAAATAATAATCTCATCTAAACAGATTTGATAATAATAGTATTAAGAATATATATAGGTCTTGGGTCATTTGACCTAGAAGTCATTTGACCTAGAATCATTTGACCTACAAAATTACCTACAAATTACAGATAGTCATTTGACCTACAATACCTACAACGTTAAATATTTACAAAATTTAGATTTTTGACACACCCCCTAACTTATCGTAGAGTTAATGTATTTCTATGGGGATTTCGATGTTTTTGGACACACCCACTACCTTCTCGTAGAGTTAATGTATTTTTATACGAATTCCAACTCTATGGGGAGTTGGTGTTTCTACGAGGGAAATAGGGTTTCCCAGTGGGAATGCCAACTCCTAATGGGAAGTTGGGGTTCCTTCGAGGGAAATGGGATGTCTGTACTAATAAAATATAAAGCTTTAAATTTCAAAGTTTAAAATTCTTACAAAAATTTTTAAAATTAATTTTATAAAATATATTTACATACCTTAAAATGACCATTTCCCTCGTTGAAACACCAACTCCTTATAGGGAGTTGGCATTCCCACTGTGAAACCCCATTTCCCTCTTAGGAACACCAACTCCCAATAGAGAGTTGGCATTAGTCTTTGAAGTGGAATCCATTTCCAGTGGAATATCCACTCCACTCCATTCCACACCGTGGAGTGGAGTGGAAAATATTTTACCAATTGAGTGGAATGTGGAATTCCACTCCACTGCCACCTAGCCACACATGTATATCAATCCACATGCGCAACCTGTACGCAAACATGTTAGTGAAGTGTGGAGTGGAGTGGAACTGTAATTTGTTTAATTTCAAAGACTAGTTGGCATTCCCTCGTAGAAACACCAACTCCCCATAGAGTTGGAATTCGTATAAAAATACGTTAACTCTACGAGAAGTTAGTGGGTATGTCCAAAAACATCGAAATCCCCAGAGAATTAAATTAACTCTACGAGAAGTTAGGGGGCGTTTCCAAAATCTAAATTTTGTAAATATTTAACGTTGTAGGTATTGTAGGTCAAATGACTCTAAGTCAAATGATCGAATACCAATTATATGCAATACTTAGCAGTGTCAAATTTATATAAACTATTATATGGGATGATTGCACCCAATTGCAATAATAGGCCCGAATGTAGTAAAGTGATGGATAGATATAGAGAGTGGTCTATTAATAAGAATATTGTGATAAATTATAAGATATACAAGGTCATATTAAATAAGATCAAGACTTATGAAAATAAATTTTTCCATCAATTCTTATCAACTGTTATACAACATAATGAGTCAATTATTGGCAAAAACTGTAGTATAGACATGATATCCACTCAATCAAACTTATCGGACACACTATCTATAAACAATGTGTCATTAACAGAGTTCCTGGATGCAACTGGATTAGACCGAGACATTCCCGATAACACTCCCTGGCCATACACCTTTGACAATGATTTACAAGTAAAAAAGGCAACAATACTGCGATCCTTGCCACAACCGATTGCTACCTCTTCGACGTCTATCTCATACAAACAAACATTCGTTGAGATATCATTGCAAGGAAAGGGTGGGTTTGGGAGGGTATATAAAGTGGAGCACAAATTGACTGGTCAGATATCTGCCATTAAACAGATCCAATTAAAAGGTATTCTTAATGAGATTATAATTAAAACAATACTATTATTCAGACTATTTATTCAGACTCCGAAGAAAATGCAAATACTTTGAAAGAAGTGGAGATTTTAGTGAAAGTTAAGTCACAATATGTGGTCGAGTGTTATCAGTCATGGCGTGAACCCGGGTTTCTATTCATACAAATGGAGTTCTGTTCACAGAATTTAAAGGATATTCTTAAAGATAAACCACAAGTATTTGATCGACAAAAGAATGATCCCTTGGGTTCTGTTGAATATTTCATTTCGTGTCAAATATTCCGTCAAATTTTAGAAAGTGTTCAGTATTTGCATGAATTGAATCCACCGGTCATTCATAGAGACCTCAAACCTGAAAACATATTAATAGCAGAAAATATAAGGAATGGTAGATTTGTTAAGTTATGTGGCTTCGATTTGGCTACAGTTCACGACAAACGCATTCACGATATGAGCACACAGAAACATACGCCAGATGTCGGGGATATGAGATATCAGGCACCAGAAAATATACAAGGTTTGAATTATAACCACAAAACTGATATTTATAGTGTGGCATTAATTGGAGGTGAATTGTTTGACGTCGAGGTTCATACTATTGACGATAACAGGTATTTTATAATTAGATAATAATTAGATACTGTATGTATATTTAGTAATTATTTTATTATAGGTCATTGGCATACTCATCAAATAATATGCAATACTTAGCAGTGTCAAATTTATATAAACTATTATATGGGATGATTACACCGAATTGGAATAATAGGCCCGAATGTAGTGAAGTGATGGATAGATATAGCGAGTGGTCTATTGATAAGAATATTGTGATAAATGATAAGATAAACAAGATCATATTAAATAAGCTCGAGACTTATGAAAATAAATTTTTCCATCAATTCTTATCAACTGTTATACAAGTATTAATAAACAAAAATAATTTGTTATGACTAAAACTAAATTATTTAATAAATGCTTACATTTATAGCAAATTCAAGAAAACGAAAACCGCAACAAAATATTGGTTAAGGAGATTAGGTGCGAGTTAAAGGAGCAAGGTAGATTGACACAGTTCCTGAATGACACTGGACTGCACCGGGAGGCTATTGGTATGGCTGAGATATTCCATATGGAGCAGCCCTGGCCCTACACTCATGGCATGGATCTAAAGGTTATAAACGCGAAAATACTGCGATCCGGAAATTCCCGATACTTTTCAATGGACTCCAGTCCCAGGGGTCGGGCCATAGTGTTTCTGACAGTCGATGGTCTGAAGGAAGAGGTGGACCGATGGAAGTCCATCTTTGAACAGTTAGACTTCCGGTGCGACGTGTATGAGAAGGCCACGTGCTCTCAGATAAGGGATGTGCTGTCGGGGGTGTCGTGTCAGCGGTTTGATACCGACGCCCTCCTCGTCATGTTTATTGGCGGCGGTTATGACGAGAAGATCCGCGGTTTCTGCAGTCTGCTTAACATGTCGTTCACAGAAATTGTGGACATATTTTCTGACTCTAATTGTATGTCTCTATTAAACAAACCGAAAATATTTGTTTTCAACACTTTCTCTATTGGTTTGTATTTATTTGTATTATATAGTAGAGAGTGAGTGAGAGAGAGAGAGAGAGAGAGAGAGAATTTTGATTTAATTAAATTTATAAAAATATTTAAAAATATTATACAACAGGAAAACCTCAACAAATTGAAAACATATCACTAAATGGCCATAATCGCACCTATCTCATTAATGCACACTCTAACTGTACCGAGAACAGTATGTACTTTAAATTATAATTAATACAATATTATGATTATAAATAATTATGAATTTTATTGAATATAGATATGAATTCGTGGTTTAATCCGACAGAAAATATTACACTATTTGGACAGGCATTCAGTTATACGATCGCACAGTACGCTTACAATCTGCATCTAGATGATTTAATTAAAACTGTATGTTTTGTTATATATTAATTACTTATAATTGATTTAAAAACTATAAATGTTTAATAGACATGTTTGCGACTTACATTGGAGCATGGTGATAATGAGCAACCGAAAATTGTCACCACTTCTTTGGA